TATCAGGGTAAAATACCCTTTTTGCACTGACTGGCGGCCGCTTATTTTCAGTTACCCTTTCACAAGCAGGGTAGTGGACTTTTTCAGGCCCCACGATATCAGGGCAAAAAATTCCTGATTACCCTGAATTCATGATGCATATTTTATTTTGCCCTGTTATTTCATAATAGTGTCAATTTTAACCCTGGGCTCTCAAGATTTTTTTATATGAAATGCGCTGGAAAATTAGGATGATTGTGGTGTACTTCTCTGTAGCGTCAGGATGAATGTCGAGCCTTGCCCTGACGAGTTTTTTTTTCGGAGGGGGGGGAGGGGGGGGGGGGGGGGGGGTTACAGTTTCCCGGGAATTTTCTCCCCGTAAAAATTTCCGTCCGCGTATTGCTTTCCCCGAGCATTTGTCCTGCCTTCGCGATCCCCTTGCTCTTTTGACCCTGTGCAACGCAACAACCAAACCCATCAGACGGGGAAAACACGGTACCCTCCCATCTCGTCAAGTGTCGTGCATGCACTAGGTCGGTGACTCTCTGTGCTGTTCGAGTAGCAACACAAGTGAAGCTCAGCTGGCTCTCTGCTGTGCTCCGCTCTGCTCAGCTCAGAAGAGTCTGGTCTGGTCTGTGTTGAAATATGTGTAAGAAACATTTATAGCTTATGCTTTTGTGTAGGCTGTAGTGGGGTAGCCCATATAGGGTACAGCCCAATTAGGGTTAGCACTTGTACCCAACTCTTTCATAGTGCATTCATTCTCGTTTCAGTTTTCTCATGGTATCAAGCATGTTCCCTCGTGGGAACTGTTCCTAGGGCCCACCGATTCGATTTTTTTTTCTTGCCCGGAGCGCGCTCAGCCCTTGCGCGAGTCGCGCTCCCCCTTTCTCATTGTGTCGCGCCGCCCTTTCGGCCCCGATTCGCCGCCCTTTCAGCCCCGTCACCTACCCCGCGGCCCTCGCGCCGCCCTTCCCGACTCGGCCTCGACCCTGCGGCCCCGTCGCCTACCTGCGGCGCATCAGATCAACCTTCACCCCAGGGTCTCCATGCCGGAGACCTTCCCAGCTTTGCTTTGGACGGGGAAGGTTGGCGATGCGTCTGCGTTCCGTGTCTGGGGATCTCGGGCGTTTGTTCGCGACTTGTCTGCGGACAAGATGTCCCCTCATGCTGCTCCTTGCGTCTTCCTTGGCTTCCCCCCTGACGCGCTAGGGTGGCAGTTCTACCACCCCACCTCTCGCCGTGTTCTGTCCTCTCAGGACGTCACGTTTGACGAGTCGGTCCCCTACTACCGCCTCTTCCCCTACCGCACTCCGTCCCTCCCCCCGCCGCCGCTCTTCCTTGTACCAGGTCCCCCCCCGGTAGACCCCCTCCCCCCTCAGGGTCCTGCCCCTTCAGGTTTGTCCCAGGTAGACGCAGTCGAGCCTGTCGAGGTTACTGGTGACTCTGGTGCTGCTGAGGGTGCTGAGCCTGGGAGTGCTGACTCAGGGGGTGCTGAGCGTGTGGGTGCTGCGCCTGGGGGTGCTGAGCCTGGGGGTGCTGCGACTGGGGGTGCTGAGCCCGGGGGTGCTGCGACTGGGGGTGCTGAGCCTAGGGGTGCTGAGCCTGGGAGTGCTACGCCTGGAGGTGCTGAGCCTGGAGGTGCGGAGCCTGAGGGAGTTGGGCCTACTCGTGTGGCGTCTGGCGGTGCTGGGCCTGGAGGTTCTCCGGGTGCTTCGTCTCGATAGGAGCCCCTCTCTCCACAGGAGCTGCGTGAGTGGTTTGCCCGGCGCTGGAGGCGTGCTGCTGGAGCTGGAGGTTCTCCAGCATGTTGAGGGTGCTGGTGCCGCGGGTCCCGGAGGTGCTCGTGCTGGGCGTACTGGAGCTGCTGGGCCTGCAGGTGCGACTGGAGCTGGTGCTGCTGAGGGTGTTGGCGCGGAGGCTGCTACTGTCGGTCCTACTGGGGGTACTACTGGTGCTGCTGGAGGTAATGGAGCTGGAGGTGCTCCTGGCGCTGGTGCTGCCGCTAGGGGTACTGGTGCTGTCTCTGCTGTGTCTGGAGTCGCCGCGTGGCCTCGGCCGTACTTCGTTCCGCTCCTTCAGCAGGTTCTTGGTCTCCCGCCTTCTACTGGTCCTTCTCCTCCCTTAGAGTGTCCACAGCCTGTCCCGTCACAGTTACAGCCGGCCTCCCCACTGCCTGCTCCTTCTCCCTACACTGGTCCTACTGGAGGTCTTGCTGAGCGTCGTGAGCCGGCGTCTCGCCCTGCGTCGCCTGTCCGCCCTGCTCGCACTAGTGGTCGTGGTTCGCGTCAACGTCCTCCTCCTGTCCCTGGCACGCACTGGATGTCTCTGCGTCCGTCCACTGCTCCTCTGCGTGCCCCTTTGCCTTCTCCTCCTGAGTCCTCTCTTCCTGCTCTTGCCGACCCGGAGTCGGACTCTCTTCGTGCTGCCAGTCCTACTGTCACGCGTCTCCTTGCTACTGTCGTCAGTGACCCTTCCTTTGAGTCCACTGCTGCGTCTGCCTTAGTTACTGAGCTCGTCGACTTTGCTACTCGCTGTCGTCTAGACTATGCTGCTAGTCTTGTCGCTGAGTCTGAGTCTGTCTGTCCTCCGTCCGTCGGGGGTGAGTGTGCCCTTGGCACGGACGTCCTTGAGGAAAGGCAGGAGGAGTTCCAGTGCCTGGCTGCTACTTCACCTCATCTCCTGTCCGTACTGCTTACCCCTGAGGGAGACCCGGATGCACTTGACATCCCGACTCCGCGCTCTTACGCGGAGGCGATAGAGGGTCCCTACTCCTCTCAATGGCAGGCAGCTATGGACGCAGAGATGGCTTTCTGGAAGTCCACAGGTACCTACGTTGACGAGGTTCCCCCGCATGGGGCGAACATCGTCAGTGGCATGTGGATTTTCAGGGTGAAGCGGCCGCCGGGTTCTCCGTCTGTCTTCAAGGCGCGCTACGTGGCTCGTGGCTTCAGTCAGCGGCAGGGAGTTGACTAATTTCAGACCTTCTCTCCCACCCCAAAGATGGCCACTCTTCGGGTGCTGCTGCACGTTGCTGCTCACCGTGACTACGAGTTGCACTCTCTTGACTCCAGCACGGCTTTCTTGCAGGGCAGCCTGCACGAGGAGATCTGGCTGCGTCGCCCACCTGGCTTCACTGGGTCTTTTCCTCCTGGCACCTAGTGGAGCCTCCGGCGGCTAGTCTACGGTCTCCGCTAGGCACCGCGTGAGTGGCACGACACACTGAGGACTACACTTGCGGCTCTTGGGTTTGCTCCCTCTACTACCGACCCGACGTTGTTTCTGCGCACCGACACTTCTTTGCCGCCGTTCTACATCCTCGTGTACGTCAACGACTTGGTCTTTGCCACAGCTGACACTGCTGGACTCGCCCACGTAAAGTCCGAGCTGCAGAAGAGACACACATGCACAGACCTGGGTGAACTGCGCAGCTACCTTGGCTTGCAGATCACCCGGGATAGAGCACGCCGCACCATTACCCTGACTCAGTCACACATGGTGCAGCAGGTCCTTCAGCGCTTCGGCTTCACGTACTCCTCGCCTCAGGCCAGTCCTCTGCCTACTCGCCACTCGCTCTCAGCTCTGCCTTCGGATGAGTCCGTAGAGTCGAGTGGCCCGTACCCAGAGCTTGTTGGCTGCCTCATGTACCTTATGACCTGCACTCGACCTGACCTTGCATACCCTCTTAGCATTCTGGCACGCTATGTTGCTCCTGGGAGACACAGACCGGAGCACATGGCTGCAGCGAAGAGGGTGTTGCGCTACTTGTGCAGTACGTCAGGCATGGGGCTTGTGCTTGGAGGGCAGAGTCCAGTGGTCCTCACTGGGCACGCAGACGCTTCTTGGGCTGACGACCAGGCTACGCAGCGGTCGTCACAGGGTTACACCTTCAGCCTTGGTTCTGGCTCTGTTTCGTGGCGGGCTACCCGCTCGTCTTCTGTTCTCGGCTCCAGTTGTGAGGCTGAGATCTACGCCGGGGCCATGGCTGCTCAGGAGCTTCGCTGGCTCACCTACCTGCTGACTGACCTCGAAGAGCCGCCTCGTTCTCCTCCAGTGCTGTACGTAGACAACAAGGCCATGCTGGCCTTGTGTCGAGAGCAGAGACTGGAGCACAGAACGAAGCACATTGCTCTTCGCTACTTCCTTGCTCGTCAGCTGCAGCATGCGTGGTCAGGTGCGTCTTGCGTACGTGGCCTCTGAGGCCAACACTGCTGATATCTTCACCAAGGCACTTGCGCCTTGTGATCATCAGCGCTTCTGTACTCAGTTGGGTGTTGAGCCTGCCTTGCCTCACTTGCTCACCTCTTGACCTTACTTGTACTGTTACATATATATATACCCCTGCTCTTGCTTGTCTAGCCTTTTATATATATATGTACTCCTGCATGTGAACTGGCCTTGTGGCATTGACCTTGTGCTCGGAATGTGTGGTGACTTTGTGATCCACCTTGAGCTTGCTTTGCTTTGCTTTGCTTGACTGGTCTTGTGACCCCTTGTACTCCCCCACTTTGCCTATGGGGGTGTGTCAGAACATTATAGCTTATGCTTTTGTGTAGGCTGTAGTGGGGTAGTCCATATAGGGTACAACCCAATTAGGGTTAGCACTTGTACCCAACTCTTTCATAGTGCATTCTTTCTCGTTTCAGCTTTCTCAATCTGAACCCTGAACACAGGTTTTTTTGCCCTGACAGGTCAGGATTAATGTCTGTAGAAGCCCTGAACATACAGGAAGGCTTTGAAAAATTTCCCTGACAAATCAGGGCATTTTTTAAGATTTTAGAAAAGTGCCCTGAGGCCTCAGGGTGCCCCAAATCTTAGCACGGGCCCTGGACTTCTTACCCTAGGCCAGAAAGTGTAAGTTTTTCAATACCTTTTGAAAAACAGCATAAGGAACACATTACCCTGACTGCACAGTGTACAATCCCAGTTATACCGGTACCGACTGCTCTGTGGCGAGACGAAACACTTTTCAGGCCCTGCAAAATGAACCTAGAGATTCGAACCTGCGCGTCTTCAGATTAATGCGTAATTGAACCAGCTGAACCATTAACAGTTAACTTGACTCTTTCAACATTTCTTTATAGCATATTTTTTTAAAATACCCTGCCCAAACAGACCAACTATTTTTTTACCCTGCATTTGTCACGGAAGAAAAAAAAATACCCTACGCATCAGGGTTGACTATACCTAGAACCTTGATTACTAAGGGTGGCCCAAAACGAATCTGAAGCCGTGAAGGCAAGGCAAGTGGTAGACCACCAATAGATTTTGAAAGTAGCTACATTAACTATGTCCACAGGCAATTACAGTATAGAGAATATTATTTAACAACTCTCCCTGTTCATATCACTCCCTCCCTTCCATTAATCTCATCGCTCCCTCGCTCTGCTCTCATTGCTCCCATACTTCATTGCTCCTCGTCCGTTGCTCCCTTTGTCAGCTACCTTCCGTCGCCCCTGTCTCTCCCTCCCGTCGCTCTCGTCTCTCCCTCCCTTTGCTCCCATCTCTCCCTCCCGTCGCTCCCGCCGTTCCGTCTTGTTGCTCCCATCTCCCCTCTTGTCGCTCTCGCGGATCCCTCCCGTCACTCCCGCCGCTCCCTCTCGTTGCTCTCGTCTCTCCCTCTCGTCGCTCCCACCTCTCCCTTTCGTCCCTCCCACCACTCCCTCCTGTTGCGCTGCTCCCGCCTCTCCCTCTAGTCACTTCTGCCTCTCCCTCTCGTTGCTCTTGCCTCTCCCTCGCTTCTCTCTCGACGCTCCTATCCTCCCTATCTCCTTGCTCGTTGCTCCCTTACTAGCTCGCTCCGCTGCTCCTATTGCTTCCTCTCTCTTCACCCGCCGTTACCTTCGACACATGCATCTCGTGCTTTCGTCGCTCCTCTCGCCGTGTGCTCTTGCCTCTCTCTCGCTTCTCTCTCGACGCTCCTATCCTCCTATCCCCTTGCCTGTCACTCCTTCCTAGCTCGCTCCGCTGCTCCTATCGCTTCCTCTCTCCTCTCCCGCCACTACCTTGGACGCGTGCATCTCGTGCTTTCGTCCCTCCTGTCGTCGTGTGCCTCCCTTGCCATTCTCTCCGATCACTAGCAATGCTTCCGCCGCTCCCTCTCCCCTCGCTCGTTGCTATCTCGCTTGTTCACCCGTTCGCTCCCAGCTCCGTCGCTCCCTCTCCCTTCACACTTCACTTCCCTTAGAGGCTAAAAAGGGGGTATATCGAGCAAATTTGTACCCTCTATAGTGCAGCCCAACCGAGCCTAAAGGATACATATGCAAATATATATGCGTATGTTGACACCCCACAATACTAGGTAAGGGGCAGTCCCTAGAAAATGGGAAACGGCCCAGGGCGTCACTACTAGTACAGCCTCTAAGGCAATAGATCACAAACACAGTTAGCAAGAACAACAATGTATATGAGGTACAACTCAGGGCGATACTGCTAGCCCATTCTAAGCTAATGAGTCACAAGGCTAGACAATAAGTATAACTAGACAACAGCAGCTCAAGTACAGTGTACATAAATCAAGATCGTAACAAATGAGGTCCTTCTATGATAAGGCCAAGATGTGTATAGAGTCGCTAATGATCACGAGATGGGAGCGCCTTAGTAAAGATACCAGCGGGGTTGGCCATTGAGGCCTAGTGTACTGCGTGTGCCTAGCTGCATTGTTGTAGCTCACGTAGCATGAAGTATTGTAGCTGGATATGCTTTGCTTTGGACTCTAATCTAGGCTCCTGGCACACAAGGATCATGACCACGGCAGAGCTAAATAGCTCACAAAAGTCAGTGAGCAAGAATGTCAACTAGCAGGGCTCCTAAGCACCCATAGCACCGGCGTAGATCTCTACTCCACAACTGAGATGTGCCATCAGCGACAAGAGAGTGGATCTCCATGAAATAGCTACACTGGCAAGACTAAAGTAGTAGCCCTGGAGGACGTGAGAGTCTTGATGTCGTCTGTCCATGACGCTTCTGTACATCCCGTAAGTGCAACCGACTGTCAACCGACCAGTGCTCAGGTCGATGTCTCCGAGTCCCAACAAAGTAAGCAAGGATGCTGAGGGGATATGTGAAAATGGACGAGGGTACGACATAAGTGTCGAAAAGAAAGGCCCCGCCCTCGCTTGGGCTCAGCCGATCTCGCCGTTGAAGAGCAGTTCTTGACGGATTGGTCGTGGAAGAGGGCTTCTGCTATTCGACGAAGGTAGCGGTCGAGCAGGCTCTGCTCTACGGAATCTAGTCGACATCGACGGTGGGAAGCACTGGTTGAAGACTGTGGTCGACGAAGCTCGTCAAGAGCTCTGGTCGACGAGCTCTGCGCAACAAGCTCTGGTCGACGAGCTCTGCACAACAAGCTCTGGTCGACGAGCTCTTCGCAACAAGCTCTAGCCGACGAGCTCTGCACGGCAAGCTTTGGTCGACGAGCGCTCGTCGATGATTCTGGTTGAAGAGCTCTACTTGGCAAACGATGTTCGACCAAGAGGGTTCGAGTTGTTCAACCAAACTCGCACAGGTATGCGAAACTCTGCAGAGGTGTGCGAAAAATCGCCTAGGAGGTTTTGGCAAAGTTCGACTTGCGGAACGGCAGCACGTTGTCAACGACTCTCCGCAATTAGGTACATGAGGCACCTCACCAGCTCTGCGTACTGACCAATGGGCTCAACAGGGAGGTTAAGGGTAGGGACCGAGAGCGAATGACCAACGAGCATAGTGGAGTGCAAAGAGGAGAACTGAAGGCCGAAGCGTTGGAGGATCTGCTGCACCATGTTTGACTGAGTGAGAGTCAAGCCGTAGGATAAAACATGTGAATATCCTGACTTCAAAATTAGTCTGATGGTCCAGCACTGAAAAATCAAAATTGTTTAAAATGTAGCACAAATGATTCAGTCATTTGCACCTTGACAAATCAGGATTGAGGTATACTTGTAACACTGATCCTTCAAGATTCCTTTGAAAATCGTCCTGAAATTACGAGACTGACAGGGCTTGAACCCACCACATCAAATATGACAGACATGAAATTATCATCTAGGCTACTACACTTGTTAGTGGTTGAACGAATACTGCACTAAAACCTAAGGATCCAATTACATGTAGCACTGACAAATTAGGATTGCCTTATCACCCCAGCACTGATCAATCAGGATGATTTTCCTTTTTTTGGAGGGGCAGCCCTGATGGATCAAGGTCCCCTGAAATGAATCTGAGGGCCTGGTGAGAGTGGTGGTGCGCGCTGCTCTGTCCATGGTGATCTGTAGGCCAAGAGTGTGGTGCATGTCAACGGGAAATGTGTGTTGGCCCCGTCCTCACTTGGGCGGAGCCGAACTTGATGTTGGGTGTACGTGGAGCACAGCCGAACAGCTGCAGTAGACGACGCCGTCGACGGACTTGGTCGACCTGCACGGTCATGTACAGCAGCTGGTCAACGCCGGACACACAAGTCGACGCCGGCTTGGTGGTTGCCTGGTCGACCAAGTTACCCGAGTGACGGGAATCTGCGCAGGTGCGTAGATCTGGCAAAGCTGACCTTGGTGTGGTATTCGGAGGTCGATGTGGAGGATCACGTGCAGACGTGGGCATGTGGTCAGCTTTGCGTCTGCGCTGTGCACGTAATGAGGCTAGCACCCCAACCAGCTGCAAGCACCTACAAAGCGGGTGCACTGCTGTCCTGCGGGTGCAACGCTGTGCAGCCGAGTCGCTGCAACGTTAGCACGCCGTCGACTTGTAGCGTTGGCAGGCCGCGACATTGCACTGCTGGAGCGCGGTCGACTTTGTCGTGCTGGAACGTGGTCAGCCGTGCTGCGCTAGCAGTCAACAAGCTTGCATGCTAGCATCTGATGTAGTCAATGTTGCTTTGCCATTGTGTACTATGGTTGTTAGTAAAACTCCTCCAGGTACTGGTGAGTCTGCTGCCCCAGGTGCTGGTGAGTCTGCTCTCTCAGGTACCACGTCGGCTCAGGTTTTACACACCTTCACCCTTGACTCGGGTGCTTCCCCCTCCTTCTTTCAAGACCGCACCACACTCACGCCGCTCAGTCGGCCAGTTGCAGTCTCCCTGGTGGGCCCCTCTGGGGGTCCTGTCCTTGCCCACTTCTCCACTGTCTTACCGTGTCCGGCGGCCCCTTCTGGCTCCCTGTCAGGTCTTTACCTCCCCTCTTTCTCTACGAACTTGGTGAGTGGTGCTGACCTACAGGATGGAGGGGTTGACCAGTTCACTCCTGCGCGTCAGCGAGTGACCCACTATACGTGTGCTCGGACGGGCCGTCACTTGGCCACGTTTACCCGTCAGCCGGGGTCGAGCCTGTACACACTGACTTCTAAGTCTCCTCAGGTAGCTGCGTCGAGTCAGGTGTTTGCTGTAGCGTCCAGGTCGGGTCCTGAGTCTGCCCCCTGCTCGTGTCTCCTCCTGTCTCAACAAACTCTCCTCTGACACCACCGCCTTGGTCACCCCTCCCTGCCTCGTCTCCGAGGCATGGCCTCTCGTTTCCTTGTCTCGGGTCTCCCCCGGTCCCTCCCTTCTCTTCCTCCAGGGCCTGCCCCCACCTGCGTTCCCTGCGTCGAGGGGCGGCAGCGCGCCACTCCTCACTCCTCCGAGTTTCCTCCGACAGAGGCTCCGCTGCAGACGCTTCACATGGACGTATGGGGCCCAGCCCGTGTCCGTGGACAGGGTCACGAGCGTTATTTCCTGCTGGTGGTTGACGACTACTCGCGTTACACCATAGTCTTCCCCTTGCGCAGCAAGGGTGAGGTCACTGAGGTGTTGATCGACTGGATCCGCGCAGCTCGTCTCCAGCTAAGAGAGAGTTTCGGCTCGGACTATCCTGTCCTGCGTCTGCACTCTGACAGAGGAGGTGAGTTTTCCTCTGACCTTCTGCGAGCCTTCTGTCGTGCACAGGGCATCCGCCAGACGTTCACGCTTCCAGCCTCTCCACAGCAAAATGGGATTGCTGAGCGCCGCATTGGCATGGTCATGGACGTCGCTCGTACGTCCATGATCCATGCGGCTGCTCCCCATTTTCTGTGGCCGTTCGCGGTTCAGTACGCGGCCCATCAGATCAACCTTCAGCCCCGGGTCTCCTTGCCAGAGACCTCCCCCACCTTGCGGTGGACGGGGAAGGTTGGCGATGCGTCTGCGTTCCGTGTCTGGGGATCTCGGGCGTTTGTCCGTGACTTGTCTACGGACAAGCTCTCCCCCCGTGCTGTTCCCTGCGTCTTCCTTGGCTTCCCCCCTGACGCGCCTGGTTGGCAGTTTTACCACCCCACCTCGCGCCGTGTTCTGTCCTCCCAGGACGTCACCTTTGACAAGTCGGTTCCTTACTACCGTCTCTTCCCCTACCGCACTGCGCCCCTCCCCCCGCTGCCGCTCTTCCTTGCGCCAGGTCCCCCCCCGGTAGACCCTCTCCCCCGTCAAGGTCCTGCCTCGTCAGGTGTGTCCCAGGTAGACGCAGTCCAGCCTGTCGAGGTAGCTGTTGACTCTAGTGCTGCTAGGGGTGCTGAGCCTGGGGGTGCTGAGCCTGGGGGTGCTGAGTCTAGGGGTGCTGAGCCTTGGGGTGCTGAGCCTGGGGGTGCGGAGCCTGGGGGTGCTGAGCCTGGGGGTGCGGAGCCTGGGGGAGCTGAGCCTGGGGGTGCGGAGCCTGGGGGTGCTGGGTCTGCTAGTGTGGCCTCTGGCGGTGCTGGGTTTGGGGGCCCTTCGGGTGCTTCGTCTCGGCGGGAGCTACCCTCTGCACAGGAGCTGCGTGAGTGGTTTGCCCGGCGCTGGAGCCGTGCAGCTGGAGCTGGAGGTGCTACTGTTACTGCTGACCCTGGGGTCGGCACTGGAGGTCCTGGAGCCACTGGTCCGGGAGGTGCTCGTACTGGCGGTACTGGAGCTGCTGGGACTGGAGGTGCTGCTGGGGCTGCTAGAGTTGGTGCTGCTGTAGGTACTGGAGCTGCTGGTACTACTGGGGGGACTGGAGCTGCTGGGC